GTATATATAAAGTATTATTATTATTATTATTATTATTATTATTATTATTATTATTATGTCCCTGCATGAGGAGCTGGAGCTGAGAGAGGGAGCTCATCCGCACTCTCCCCAAATTCGAACCTGCGACCTGTCCGTCTTCAGTCCTGCCGGGACAGGCGTTTAACCCATTGCACCACTGGGGGCGGGCAGGTAATGGCACACCATGCAGTCATGCTTGCCACATGACTTTGGAGGTGTCTATGAACAACTCCAGAGTCAGACACGACTAGGCTTAACATCAGGGGAAAACGTTTACTCTACCTTTCCAAAGAATCTCTCAATCAGTTTTGTTTGTGCCACAAAAATGAAGTTTCTGGAGGAGAAGAACTCCTTTCAAAGGAAGGACGGCACAATTAAACTGTAAACGACTCTTTCAAACCAGGAGCAGAATTTCTTTTCCAAATTCGTCACATAGTGTTGTTTTGTAGTTTGTCTATAAGGCCTCCATAGTTTGCTGTACAATTGCAGAAGCCAAGGATTACATCCATTTGGGTGCATGGTCTTTCCCCCGTGGACACTGCGCAAATTGCATTCCTCTCCGCACACCAGTTCAGATGTGTCTCCAGCAGGATTTCGGCCAACGTGGTTCCTGTTTTTCCCAGGACATGGCAGAAACTGATCATTTTGAAGCATTGGAGGCATTTTGGGGCGAGGAGCAGAAAGGCAGTCCTTGAACAAACAAGACGTTCTGCCTGTCACTGCGCCCACGAGGCACACCATGCGCTTCGCCAAGGAAAGATCTGGAATTGTGAAAGCAGAAGTAATAAGGTTCAGTTAGCAAATGTGTCTGACATTACGATGGCGTTTGGGGATTCCTCGCGTTCTCCAGCGATGCTTTTGGAATCCAAACATGTGAAAGATTAGCATTATTTATTTATAGGTTTACTTGTGTGCACTTTGAGAAGAAAGGGTCTCGTTTCAGAGTTCCAGATTCTGTTCTTTGGATTGGCGTCCATTTGGAAAATATTACGTTCCTTTCAATCTAGGCTCTCCATCCTTTGTACCCAAAAATTATTGTCAGGCTTGTCCTCAAGGGGCCATTACTCAGCTCTTGCCAACCTCTTTGCCCAAAACATTTATTTATTTATTTACTAGCTTGGGTACCCAGCAGTGCTCGGATTATTTGAGAAAGGCATTGTGTGCCAAGGTTGGTCTTTGTCAGTTATTTATGTGGCTCTCAGTGGTCTCAAGAAGTTAGTGAAGGTACTGTGAGTTCCCTCGTCCATGGTCCATCCTCCTCCAAACAGCACCAGGATGTAGAGTGGATCATGGGGGCTCTGTGTGCCAAGTTTGGTCTTGATCAGTCATTGGATGAGGGTCGCAGCAGTCTCAGGAAGTGAGTGAAGGTACTTCAAGTCCTATCATCTGTGGTCAGTCCTCCTCCAAACTGCACCAGGATGTAGAGTGGGTCATGGGGGCTCTGTGTGCCAAATTTAGACTTGATCAGTCATTGGATGAGGCTTGCAGTGGTCTCGGGAAATGAGTGGAAGTACTTCAAGTCCCATCATCTGGGGTCCGCCCTAGTCCAAACTGCAGTAGGTTGTAGAGGGGGTTATGGGGGCTCTGTGTGCCAAGTTTGGTCTTTTTCGGTCTTTGTTTGGGGCTGCAGTGGTCTGTGTGAACCGAAGGGTTTGAAAATACTACAAATCCCATCATCCTTGTCCGTCCTCCCCCAAACTGCACCAGGACGTAAAGGGGGTCATGGGAGTTATGTGTGCCAAGTTTGGTCCAGGTCCGTCACCCCTGCTGGTCACAGTGGCTTGTGAAAGTGGGAGCCAATCAGAAAGCTGCCACATATATAAATATAAACATTCACTTTTATTATATCTATCTATCTATCTTTACAGTATTTATATTCCACCCTTCTCAGCCCGCAAGGGACCCAGGGCGGATCACAATGGACATATACATGGCAAACATTCAGTGCCATATACACACAACATATATAGACCGACACACAGAGGCTATTTAACTTTCCAGCTTCATGAGGGCATGCTTTGAATTCCGGCCACCGGGGGAGCTGTCGCTTCACCGTCCACTTGTGACACCGATGGAGCACTTCCTCATTCATTTGCACAGCTGCTGGAGAGTTTTATGGCGTCGTAAATTAGTTAAATTGGCCTCCCACATAAGCCGTACGTAAATTTCCTACTTGACAGATGCAACTGTCTTTCGGGCTGCATAGGTCAACAGCAAGCTAGACTATTAATGGGAGCTTACTCCAACCCAAGCTGGCTTCAAAGTTGTGACATGAGTCTTTGATGGAGTACTTCCTCATTCTTTTGCACACTGCTGGAGAGTTTTATGGCATCGTAAATTAGTTAAATTATCCTCCCCACATAAAGCAGTACCTAAATTTCCTACTTGACAGATGCAACTGTCTTTCGGGCTGCAAAGGTCGACAGCAAGCTAGACAAATGGTTGGGAGCTCACTCCGACCCGGGCTAGCTTCGAACTCACGACCTTTTGGTCAGTAGTGATTTTAATGCAGCTGATTCCCAACCAGCTGCGCCACAACCCGGATGTTGTAGTTCCACTTTACTCTGGGTTACTCAGGCCTCGCTGTGTCCTGTGTTCAGTTCTGGTTGCCTCATTTTAAGATGAATTTAGACACGTCCAGGCCATTCAAAGAAGTGCCGCAGTGTTGGTAAGACATCTAGAGTACCAGCCCTGTGAGAAAACGTTGTCGATCTTTGCAGCCCGAAAGATAGTTGCATCTGTCCAGTAGAAAATTTAGGTACCGCTTTATGTGGGGAGGGTAATTTAACTAATTTACAATGCCATAAAACTATCCAGCAGCATGCAAAAGAATGAGGAAGTACTCCATCAAGGACTCGGTGTCACGACGGGTCGGAGTAAGCGCCCAACCATCAATAGTCTAGCTTACTGTTGACCTATGCAGCCCGAAAGACAAGTGCATTCAGCTTAGAGCAGAGAAAACTCAGGAGTGAGATGATAGCACCATTTCAGTATCTAAGGAGGCATCAGAGAGGGAGGATACAGTTTATTCTCTGCTGCGTCAGAAGATATGACTAGGTCTATGGTTTTAGGTTGCAGTGTTGGTGATAGATTTCCGTTGAACATTAGATACAAATATGTTGACCGTAAGAGCAGTTTGACAATGGAACCAGATACCTAAAGCGTTGGTGAGGTCTCCTCTGGACCTCATCAGAAAGACACTGGATGTCCTCCATTGAGTAGGGTTGGGTCCCATTCCTCTATGAGTCTATCTCGTTTCTGATCAGAAGGCTGGTTCATGGTGACCACAGGCAGATCTTGAGTAGCTTGATCCCATCCCCAGCAATGCTCCCACCTTGGCTTTGGGCACCTTGGCTGCTCTTCTTGCCCAATGGTAGCGTTCCTCCACTAAATCATGGCCACGATCTCCCTGGTGCCTGCAGGAAGAGGTGCAGACAGTCAGGCGTGCGATAAGGAACCGGAGCAGCAGTGTGAGGCAGATTTCCAAGCCACAAGCAGCTAGCAATGGGAGGATCCTGCTTTTCCCACGGAAAACAGCGGGGATCTTCTTGCCGCCCAGCCCTCGGAGAGATGGGTTCAGACCCGGCGCCTCTGCGCTCAGCCGACGGCACCAAACAACTTCAGGTCCCTTCCAGGGTAGTAGTTGACTCAAAGGAGCGTAGACATGTCTGTACCTTTCTAAGGTGTTCAAGGTGAGCCAGTTCTGGATTCCTGTGGATCGTTCGTTCCATTTTTTGTGTGGTTAAGGACATGTTTTTGTTCCCAAGAGTCTACCACTACCGACAGTAGTTTTGCTTCAAGGCCCTTGTGTTTGGAATGAGGGATTTGGTGACATGGATCACTTTCTTTTGTCCTCTTTAGATTCCACAGAAACTCAGACAATCAGACAAACCCTCTGGAAAGAGTTGAAAAATGGGGGGGCTGTCAAAATATATAATTGACAGTCAGTCTTGTGAGCAAGCAGTATATTTGATATCAAGACATCGATGTCAACAAAAACAGCAGTGTTGTTTCACTAGTGACTGTTGCACTCTGACTTTAAACACCACACAGCTGAGTAAAATGCAAGCAGTTTATTGAAGGTAATAAAAAACAGCAGCAGTAAAAAGCAATCCACAAAAATAGGTAAATCCCATTAGGTAAAAAAGATATAGTAATAACAAGTCTAGGAAATTAGTCCATGAAAACAAATACTGGGACTTCCAAGACAAAACCCCAAAACTTGAGCATGAATCAAACAAGGCATGGAAATAACTTCAGCATGTAGATCGAGGTGGTGGTGGTGCAGATTGAGTGGAAGGTGATGCAGATCAAGGAGAAGGTGGTGTAGATTGAGGAGAATGTGGTGGTGTCCTTTGAGGAGAAGGTGTTGTACATCAAGGAGAAGATGGTGTAGTAGATCAAGGAGAAGGTGGTGCAAATCAAGTGGAAGATGGTGCGGATTGAGTGTAAGGTGGTGCAGATTGAGGAGAAGTTGGTGTACATCAAGGAGAAGGTTGTGTAGTAGATCAAGGGGAAGATGGTGTAGATAGAGGAGAAGATGATGTAGATCAAGGAGAAGGTTGTGTAGATCGAGGAGAAAGTGGTACAGATTGAGGAGAAGATGGTGTAAATTGAGGAGAAGATGGTGCAGATCAAGGAGAAGGTGGTGTAGATTGAGGAGAATGTGGTGGTGTACCTTGAGGAGGAGGTGGTGTACATCGAGGAGAAGATGATGTAGATTGAGGAGAAAGTGGTGCAGATCAAGTAGAATGTGGTGTTGCTCGAGGAGAAGATAGCATAGTAGATCAAGGAGAAGATAGCGTAGTACAGGGGTAGGGAACCTTTGGCCCTCCAGCTGTGGTGGACTTCAACTCCCACAATTCCTTGAGGCTCGGCATTCGCCCCAAAGGCGTACCTTGGCCCAATGCCGAGCCTCCAAGGAATTGTGGGAGTTGAAGTCCACCACAGCTGGAGGGCCAAAGGTTCCCTACCCCTGGCGTAGTAGATCAAGAAGATGGTGTAGATTGAGGAGAAGATGGTGTAGATTGAGGAGAAGATGGTGTAAATTGAGGAGAAGATGGTGCAGATTGAGTGGATGGTGATGCAAATCAAGGAGACGGTGGTGTAGATTGAGGAGAAGGTGGTGTACATCATGGAGAACATGGTGTAGTTGATCAAGGAGAAGGTGGTGCAGATCCAGGAGAAGGTGGTGCAAATCAAGTGGAAGGTGTGCAGATTGAGTGAAAGGTGGTGCAAATTGAGTGGAAGGTGGTGCAGATCGAGGAGAAGGTGGTGTAGTAGATCAAGGAGAAGACGGTGCAGATCAGAGGTTCTCAACCTGGGGTCCCCAGATGTTTTTGACCTTCAACTCCCAGAGATCCTAACAGCTGGTAAACTGGCTGGGATTTCTGGGAGTTGTAGGCGAAAAACATCTGGGGATCCCAGGTTGAGAACCACTGGTGTAGATAGAGAAGATGGTGTAGATCAAGGAGAAGGTGGTGCAGAAGGTGGTGTAGATCGAGGAGAAAGTGGTACATATTGAGGTGGTGCAGATTGAGGAGAAAGTGGTGCTGCTCGAGGAGAAAATAGTGTAGTAGATCAAGGAGAAGATGGTGTAGATTGAGAAGAAGATGGTGTAGATTGAGAAGATGATGTAGATTGTGGAGAAGATGGTGTAGATTGAGAAGAAGATGGTGTAGATTGAGGAGAAGATGATGTAGATTGAGGAGAAGATGGTGTAGATTGAGAAGAAAATGGTGTAGATTGAGAAGAAGATGGTGTAGATTGAGGAGAAGATGGTGTAGATTGAGGAGAAGATGGTGCAGATAGAGGAGAAGATGGTGTAGATCAAGGAGAAGGTGGTGCAGAAGGTGGTATAGATCGAGGAGAACGTGATGCAGATTGAGATGGTACAGATTGAGGAGAAGGTGATGCTGCTCGAGGAGAAGATAGCATAGTAGATCAAGGAGAAGATGGTGTAGATTGAGAAGAAGATGGTGTAGATTGAGAAGATGATGTAGATTGTGGAGAAGATGGTGTAGATTGAGAAGAAGATAGCGTAGATTGAGGAGAAGATGGTGTAGATTGAGAAGAAGATGGTGTAGATTGAGGAGAAGACGGTGTAGATTGAGAAGAAGATGGTGTAGATTGAAGAGAAAATGGTGTAGATTGAGAAGAAGATGGTGTAGATTGAAGAGAAAATGGTGTAGATTGAGGAGAAGATGGTGTAGATTGAGAAGAAGATGGTGTAGATTGAGAAGATGATGTAGATTGTGGAGAAGATGGTGTAGATTGAGAAGAAGATAGCGTAGATTGAGGAGAAGATGGTGTAGATTGAGAAGAAGATGGTGTAGATTGAGGAGAAGACGGTGTAGATTGAGAAGAAGATGGTGTAGATTGAAGAGAAAATGGTGTAGATTGAGGAGAAGATGGTGTAGATTGGAGATACGATTGTGTTGATAGAGGAGAAGATTGTATGTGTTGAGAGAAGAGAAGATGATGTGTTGCCTGCACTTCTCTGAGGTGCTAGGAATTGTGGGAACCAAGAAAAACCCACAACTTTTGGGTGCATAGATGTTTCTTTTGTAATCTCTTAGGTTCACAGTGGTGGAATGTGTTTGACGTCTGAAGACGTCTCTTACCACTTTTGCCATTCTTCATTGGACGTTCACCTTTTTGCCTGAATTGATACAGATTTGGCTCAAGTTGACGCATAGTGGAGATGACAGCAAGCAGTTCATTGAAGATAATTAAAAAGCGGTGGCAGTAAAAACTTCCAACTCTATGATTCTGTGAAAAGCTCGCTCCTTAAAAAGTTGGGCCGCATGGCGGTAGATGGGCTTTCTCTATTGCCTATATTCCCTTCCGTCAGAATGCTCCAGCATGGGGTCTCTGTCGAACGTTGTTGTAAGAGGAAGAAAGTGCATACATAATCACAACAATGATTACGGATGCATTAATTGAAACGTAGAAAGCCATTTGTTATGCGTTCTTCATTCCGTGGAGTGGTTTTTTTAAAGGGGGGAGCCGTTTAATGTCTAAATTCCCCTGAAATTCTCGCATTAGATGCGATGGTTTCTTAATCTCCACAGGGGAGATTAATTTTGCGCTTCTGCTTTGCAGTGATATTCTTAAATTCAATTCTGTGCCTGTGATTAAAGGGATATGGCGGAAATAAGGAGGGGGGGAGTTATTTCATGGTGATGATCTTAAAGACCCCGTGCTGGTACATCGAAAGGCAGTAAAATGATGGCTCCATTATTATTATTACTCTTTGGCTGGGAACAGACTGTTGCCTCCTGGGTTGCCAAAGACTGTTTAATCATAGCAGCATAATGCCGAGTTCAGTGATGTCTTCGCCTGTGGGTTGCACATCAAACCATAGAGTTGGATGAGACCCCAAGGGCCACCCACTTCAACATAATCTACACTAGTGTTTCTCAACCTTCCTAATCCTGTGACCCCCTTAATGCAGTTCCTCATGTGGTGGTGACCCCCAACCATAACATTATTGATTGATTGATTTACGCCATTTATATGCCGCACTTCTCACCCTGAGAAGTGCGGCTCAGATAATAATTATGATATTTATTTATTTATTTATTTCAAAGTTTTCTATACCGAACTTCTCAACCTCATTGAGGGACTCAGCCCGGTTTCCAACCATAAAAACACATACAATCATTAAAATATCATATATCACAATTACAGTAACAGATTTAAAATAACACTATATATAAAACTACGATGGTCAGTCGTCGTATTAAAATCAGATCTACATCATCTTCCATCCAGAATCCTAGGTTGTTGTCTCATTCATCGAAAGCCTGACTCCACAGCCACGTCTTCACCCGTTTCCTAAATGTCAGGATAGAGGGCGGTTCTGACCTCCGGTGGGAGAGAGTTCCAGAGTCACGGGGCCACCACCGAGAAGGCCCTGTCCCTCGTACCCACCAGATGCGCTTGCGAGGCCGGTGGGACTTAGAGTAGGGCCTATATAATAACAATAATAATAAACTTTATTTCTACCCCATCGCTATCTCCCCGATGGGGACTCGGAGCAGCTTACATGGGGCCAAGCCCGGACAACATAATACAGCAATAAAATCAAAGCATATACATCAGACAACAACAACATTATCAAAATGACATTAATAAAAAATAATAGTAATAATAAAATAAAATAAAAATTCCAATAGACACAATCACGATAGAAATGACAATGGGCGGGCCACATATTCATATTAAAAAAACAATTAACAGACTATGATGAGATAAAATAGAGAAGGGGACTCTGAGCGGCTCACAAGATATATATACATACAATATATTATATTATTAGCATAGTGCAATATCAGCATTAAATATTACTATATTGTATTATACCATTATATTGTAATATTATTGGTAATATTACATGTAATATAAATATATAATATCATATTATTAGTAGTATTATATTGCATTACATTATAATATTATAAATATTACTAGCCGTCCCCTGTCACGTGTTGCTGTGGCCACTCTGGTGGTCATGGGGGTTCTGTGTGGGAGGTTTGGCCCAATTCTATCGTTGGTGGGGTTCAGAATGCTCTGTGATTGTAGGTGAACTACAAATCCCAGCAACTACAACTCCCAAATGTCAAGATTCTATTTTCCCCAAACTCCACCAGTGTTCACATTTGGGCATATTGAGTATTTGTGTAGAGTTTGGTCCAGATCCATCATTGTTTGAGTCCACAGTGATCTCTGGATGTAGGTGAACTACAACTGCAAAACCAAAGGACACTGCCCACCAAACCCTTCCAGTATTTTCTGTTGGTCATGGGAGAACTGTGTGCCAAGTTTGGTTCAATTCCATCGTTGGTGGGGTTCAGAATGCTCTCTGATTGTAGGTGAACTCTAAATCCCAGCAACTACAACTCCCAAATGACAAAATCAATTTTTTTGAGTGAAGGGCATACATTGGGTTGTTAGGTGTCTTGTGTCCAAATTTGGTGTCAATTTGTCGAGTGGTTTTTGAGTTCTGTTAATCCCAGAAACGAACATTACATTTTTATTTATATACATTTTTAATTTTTAGCTTTTTAAGTCACTTCTGCTGTGTTTTTCATTATTTTCATGAGTGATGGTCACTCGTTGGCCTGATAGGTGTCTTGTGTCCAAATTTGGTGTCAATTTGTCCAGTGGTTTTTGAGTTCTGTTAATCCCACAAACGAACATTACATTTTTATTTATATAGATAATATTGTTTTCAATGGGATGAACAAAGGTGGCACCCAGACTAGGGTGTACCTAGTTCAGGAAGCCCTAAGTGGATAAGTGAAACCTTGTGTGTTGGTTATGCAGACACAAGGAGCGTACTCTGTATATTGATGTGTATATGTATATATGTGCGTGGTGTATAGGAAAATATTACAGTTTACTCAACACTGAGGTTGGTAAAATGATATGCTGTTGAAGTACAATAGAAGTCACAAATAATTATGTGTAGATATTTAAAATGCTTTTATCCTAAGTATTATTTTCCTTTTGCCGCAGCCTTTTTTCGCTTGATGGGGGGAGAGGGGGAGCGTGAGGGATGGCTGCGCTGCTTGGGGTGGCTGTCAGTACAGAGGGTAATGCTATTTATTAGGGTCCTGGTTTTATTTAATAGCCAGATGAATGGAACAGTTAATAAAAGAAATATTGCTTTATTCCCTGACATTTATGTCCTTGGTTTCCAATAAAGAATTGAAATTATGAATAGTTGATGGTTTAAATTGATGTTTTATGTTGAACGCTCGCTATAATTTGCCCTCTGAGGATTGTAATACCGAGAAACAGATGGTTTTTCGCAGTAACAAATTGCCGTGTGTGTACTGTGTGCAGAGAGCTGGCTTTCGGAGCCGTTTGCCTGCCATGCAGAGCAGTCCTGAAGGAAGCGGTAGAGAAAAGCAAGCAAGGATGAAGGAGAAGTCCCTCCGCTTTGGGAGATCAGTGGGTGAAGGCGAAGCATCCCTTCCTCACATTCATGATTTAAATTCAGGTGTGGCACAGGAGAACTACAGTGTTCCCTCACTAACTAACGTTCCAGGACCACCCGCGATAAGTGAATATCCATGAAGTAGGGACGCCATATTAATTGTAATATTTATACAGATGCGGCCCTAGGTAATTTTCAACGATAAGCAAACAGTATTTTGGCGCCCCCCCCCCTCCACTGATATATATTTTCTGTTCGTCGTGGGAGTTCTGTGTGCCATATTTGGCTCAATACCATCATTGGTGGAGTTCAGAATCCTCTTTGATAGTAGGTGAACTATCCATCCCAGTAACTACAACTCACATATGTCAAGGTCTATTTTCCCCCAAGAACACCTCAAGAGCGCCCCTGGGCAAAATTAACTATACTGCAAATGCTTACTTTGAGTAATGTGTTGAGCCGCCCCTGTATTTATACATTGTATTAGCATATGTATAAGAAGTGTGCATGCGCAATCTAGCCCTCACGCTTCCTTACCCACCTCCGGAGCCCCACCGCGCCTCAGGCTGCCACTCTTCTGAGGTCCGCAGAGGCCAGGAAGGCAGGCCTGGATGTTGTTGGGGTGGGCATCGGAGCCTCCAGTGGGCTGCATCCCTGCCCGGAATGAGGAGGAGCCCGAGCCACCGACGGAATGAGCAAAAAAAGCGACAGGACGCAAGAGGCTGCACACCAGCCTCCCTTTCTGAGGCCCATTGTAATGTAAATATTTTATATTAATATTAGCCGTCCCCTGCCATGCGTTGCTGTGGCCCACTTGAGGGTTCTGTGTGAGATGTTTGGCCCAATTCTATCGTTGGTGGGGTTCAGAATGCTCTTTGATTGTAGGTGAACTATAAATCCCAGCAACTACAACTCCCAAATGTCAAGATTCTATTTTCCCCAAACTCCACCAGTGTTCACATTTGGGCATATTGAGTATTCTTGTAGAGTTTGGTCCAGATCCATCATTGCTTGAGTCCACAGTGCTCTCTGGATGTAGGTGAACTACAACTCCAAAACCAAAGGACACTGCCCACCAAACCCTTCCAAGGATTTTCTGTTGGTCACGGGAGAACTATGTGCCAAGTTGGGTTCCATTCCATCATTGGTGGGGTTTAGAATGCTCTTTGATTGTAGGTGAACTATAAATCCCAGCAACTACAACTCCCAAATGACAAACTCTTTTTTTTTTGAGTGAAGGACATACATTGGTTGTTAGGTGTCTTGTGTCCAAATTTGGTGTCAATTTGTCCAGTGGTTTTTGAGTTCTGTTAATCCCACAAACGAACATTACATTTATATAGAGAGAGATTTATAAAAAATCCGTGAAACAGGGAGTCCACATAAAGCGAACCATAATGTAGCAAGGGAACACTGTATAGCGTCCTGTTGAAGTTTGGAGCAGTGATAGGCAGCGTGAGGAGGAGAGGAGCCCTTGAGGCATGCAGAAAATGGGCTGGGCTTCTCCTCAGGTGACCTCTGGGGCCCCAAGAGCTCCCCCTCCTCTGGTTGCCTTTCAACTTGCTCCTTTGACCCATTGCCTCCCAACGGTTCACTATTTTTACAGGAGGAGGACTACAAGGCAGCGATGGAGAAGGAGTGGAAGACTCAAGGTCCGTATCAAACGGTCTTCATAGTACGGTGTTGTGCGAATGCATAGTTCACTTTGATAGGAGAACTAGAAGGCATCTGTGGAGAAGGTATGGAAGACTTGAGGTCCATGCTCCATGGTTTTCGTAGAACAGGGTTGTGCAAGTGCGTAGTGAACTTTGATAGGAGAACTAGAAGGCAGCAGAGGACTCACACAACACTGTTCTACAAAGACCATGGGACATGGGCCATGTGTCTTCCGCACCTTCTCAGCTGCTACCCTCTAGTCATCCTCCTCTCAAATCGTACTAAAGACTCACACTCACACAACCCCATTCTACTAAGTCCATGGGATAGAGACCGCAAGTTTTCCATACCTTCTCCATTGCTGCCTTCTACTCCTCCTCCTCTCAAAGTGCACTACATACTCGTACAACCCCGTTCTACTAAGTCCATAAAAAACAGACCTTGAGTCTTCCAAACCTCCTCTCAAAGTGCACTACACATTTGCACTCACACAACCCCATTCTACGAAGATTATGGGACGTTGTTGTTGTCACGTGCTTTCAAGTCGTTTCAGACTTAGGTTGACCCTGAGCGAGGGCCGGATAAATGACCTTGGAGGGCCGTATCCGTCCCCCGGGCCATAGTTTGAGGACCCCTGACATAAGGGGGAACCCCATTTAATCTCTCTTCGGCCTTTGAGATGCTGCTGAATATATTCTGTTGCTTTCTCTTTTGTGCTGATATTCCTGTTTGGGTCAAATTGGTTGGACAGCAGTGTTTGTGCGTGCACAAGGCAGCAGATAACCCCAAAGCCTCGTACCTGCCAATGCATTTGGCCTGACAATGAGAGTTTGCTTGGAAGCAGGCAACGTTTGTCGGAATCTTCTTTCTAAAACCGTTGGACGCGAAGCCGTGAAAACGGTCGGACTTTTCAAAACCTTCATGGCTGTTAACATGGCTTTAAAAAAAACCAACTCTTCTCTATTCCTTTCATGTATTAATGAGTCTGATCGCTTCCCTGTCGAAACAGAGCATAATCGGGAGGTGTCAACATGAAATTGCGCTTTGAACGTATTCTGTGTGTTGGAATGTCTCTTGAAAGTCAAGTCTCTTTATAATCTTTTTTTTCAGGGCCGCACGGAAGTGTGTTGGGAAGTGTTCGAACAGGAGCCGAACGCTTCCCAACACACTGTTCAGCAGTGGAACTCTACCCCAAAGTGTGGTGGAGGCTCCTTCTTTGGAGGCTTTTAAACAGAGGCTGGATGGCCATCTGCTGGGGGTGCTTTGAACGCGATTGTCCTGCTTCTTGGCAGAATGGGGTTGGACTGGATGGCTCATGAGGTCTCTTCCAACTCTATGGTTCTATGATAAGCCATACCCCAAAAATAAGACCTAGTGATAGGCGTGGCTATGTAGCGTACAAGGTCAACTCCCCCTGTCAGGTCCTAGTCATTCTGTGCATCTTGCAAACTGAGGCATAGAGGGAGACATAGAATGTGAAAGTCAAAAGTCTCCTCAGTGAAGTGAGGAGCAGGACGCTCTGCTGTAGGTATGGTGTGTCCTCGGGGAAGAAGTAAAGCTGTGGTTGCCGATTTACTCAGCACTGTGGGTCTCTTTCCCCAGCACCAACCAGCTTAGAAAGAGAAAGTAATAGTCTCCTCAGTGAAGTGAGGAGCAGGATGCTCTGCTTTCAGTATGGTGTGTCCTAAGGGTGAAAAAGTAAAGCTGTGGCTGCCAATTTACTTTGTACTGTGGGTCTCTCTCCCCCGGAATCAACCAGCTTAGAAACCGAAAGTAATAGTCTCCTCAGTGAAGTGAGGAGCTCTGCTTTAGGTATGGTGTGTCCTCAGGGAGAAGAAGTAAAGCTGTGGTTGCCAATTTACTCAGCACTGTGGGTCTCTTTCTCCCAGCACCAACCAGCTTAGAAAGAGAAAGTAATAGTCTCCTCAGTGAAGTGAGGAGCAGGACACTCTGCTTTAGGTATGGTGTGTCCTCAGGGGAAAGAAGTAAAGCTGTGGCTGCCGATTTACTCAGCACTGTGGGTCTCTCTCCCAGCATCAACTAGCTTAGAAAGAGAAAGTAATAATCTCCTCAGTGAAGTAAGGAGCAGGACTCTCTGCTTTAGATAATGTGTTTCCTCAGGGGGAAGAAGTAAATCTGTGGCTGCTGATTTACTCAGCACTATGGGTCTCTCTCCGCCAGCACCAACCAGCTTAGAAAGTGAAAGTAATAGTCTCCTCAGTGAAGTGAGGAGCTCTGCTTTAGGTATGGTGTGTCCTCAGGGAGAAGAAGTAAAGTTGTTGCTGCCGATTTACTCAGCACTGTAGGTCTCTCTCCCCCAGCTCCACCAGCTTAGAATGTGAAAGTAATAGTCTCCTCAGTGAAGTGAGAAGCAGGACACTCTGCTTTAGGTTTTGTGTTTCCTCAGGAGGAAGAAGTAAAGTTGTTGCTGCCGATTTACTCAGCACTGTAGGTCTCTCTCCCCCAGCACTACCAGCTTAGAATGTGAAAGTAATAGTTTCCTCAGTGAAGTGAGGAGCAGGACACTCTGCTTTAGGTTTTGTGTTTCCTCAGGAGGAAGAAGTAAAGCTGTTGCTGCCGATTTACTCAGCACTATAGGTCTCTCTCCCCGAGCACCAGCCAGCAACATTCTGTGGGTCTCTCCCACCCTCCACAAACACCAGTAAAGCTCCCAAGCACTGTCCGGCAACAGTCTGTGGGTCTCTCTCACCCCTCACAAACATTAGGGGATAAATAGATAGGGGAAAAGCCAGCAAGCAGTCTGCTGTTGAGCCCAGAGAGATCGTCCCATAAATGCAGATTGTTGTATCATACTTAATTTAAAAAATGACACCCTCTGAAAATAAGCCATAGTGTGTCTTCTGGAGGAAAAATAAGTATAAGACACTGTCTAATTTTCAATGAAACACGATACTTAGAATTTTGGTATCTTAGCAGTTTTGCTTGAATTGGGAAAAGCGAAATGCCCGTGCAGAATTGCAAATCGGTTTTCCTTGCACTAACTTGGCTCTGTTTCCCAAGCGATGAACTCTGCCTGTTCCTAAAAAGGCTCTTAAGGCACCAGCGAATCTTTGCCCACAGAGCGTTTATCCAGTTGCCTTGATGAGAACAGGAAATTGAGTCTTCGACGCAGACGTCCAGAGAGCCAGAGGCACATTCTTCAAAAAAGAGAATGCGCCGAGACCAAAGCCTCAAAAGTGTCAGGTCTGTTTTGAGTCAGGTCCGGTTTGTTTCGGGCCATCCCTTCCGAAATGGTCTTTTACTCAGCAAATTCATAAAGAATAATTTTTGAAGTTTTTAAAAAACCCAGCCCTTTAGAAGAATACGAGAAGAATCTTGCCTTGGAGTCTTGACAACCCCGGTGACTTTATTTATTTAGTCTCGCAGAGAACTTCCTGAATGGTCGCCGCCTCCGTCTGCAGTCGGAACAAGAGAAGGACGCAGCTTGAATTCCTTATCTCTCTTTCAAAGCAGCACTTCGATTAACACAACTGCACATAGAGAACGGCAGGGGAATGGTACAGAGAACGGATGCAATTGGTGCTTTTGTCTGCAGAAAAACCTGGGATTTCATGAGCGCTACGAGAACCCTTCAAAAGATGGTCAGGTTTGTGTGCCTTTCTGAAGACTGCTCTGATCCCAATCATCAAGAATTATAAGATCTATCAACCAAAAAGATTGCAAGTTTGAACCCCGGGGTTGGCGTGAGCTGCCAACTGTCAGCCTAGCTCATTGTTTACCTAAGCAATTTGAAAACAAATTGGCGGTGGGTCCGTAGGTGACTGTGGAGCCCTATTCTTGATCTGCATTTTCTCCCGCAGTGAGGGCATTGGTTTCCAGGTGGAAGGCGGTCCTGGTCAGTGTTGGCTTGAAGCACCTTCCTCTTGGCACGTTCTCTCTTTCGCTCTCCATTCATGCCTCTTCAAATTCTGCAGCACTGCTGGTCACAGCTGACCTCCAGCTGGAGCGCTCACGGGCCACGGCTTCCCAGTTCTC